TAGAGAATCTTACTGATTGTCTCGGCAAGAACACTCATCGGATGTCCTTTGACAGGAGGGGGTAAAGTTTTTTTTTGATTTTGAGATTCCCTGGCTTCACTGACACTCGCAACATTTTTCACGCAGGGATGAAAAAATACGTGGGAAAACCCCCTCTTCAATCAAGAATACAATTTCCTCCGGGAGTGATTAAGTTTCCGTTAAAAGACGCTGTTGCTTCACGGCTGAGTGGAGCTACCGCGAGGACAGATATGCGAATGTGTGAGGCGTTAATGACCGATTATATCGATATTTCCCTATTCGAAGCCGTGATGAAGAATCGATAATTAAAGTGTTCGTTGCGAACACCCTGTTTATCGATCCTTTCTCATGCGTTTACATGGTAGATCAATCGATTAATCGCAAAGCACGCCACGCCACTGGTGTGATACACGCTCAATTACACCCATGTTTCTGCGAGGACCCGTTAACAATTTTAATGAATCATTTCTGAGTTAGCTCACAGCTCGAGAGTTTCACGAAAGCGTCTGAAATAAAGCGAAGCTGCAGTTATTCAAGGGCCACATACTTAAAGAAGGGGAGGGGGCTAGATTACGGCATAGTTGTTTCTTGACGCGGCATTAGACAGCTTTAGAATGCGGTTAATGATATGAGTTTCGTTTTCACATTTTTAATGTAATTATTCGTATTCGAAAAATCCGATTTTTTGCAGCTGCTGGTTAAACGCTTATTGTAAACGCGGCTTCAATGATTTTTTCACTTTCCGATTCCCTGATTTTCCTTGACTCCATAATTGTCGAATTTCCCGACTTTTCCTGACCTTCGAACAAAACTTGCACTAAGTTATTTCCTTTTGCTGACTTTTGGTAAATGCTAAGGTCCAGTTACACGATCAAATTGAGCCATCAAATTGGGCCTCTCATTGGTCGCATCCTCACCTCAGGTCTTTTTCCACCAATCAGAGCTTCAGTTTGATGGCTCAATTTGATTGGGTAACTGAACCTCTACCGGCGAAATCCTCCAGCACGCACAGTGGATCGAGTCGAATGGGAAAGGTCGGGCATGATTTAAAGATTTTAAAATCATATATCTCGTTTATGATACTGATATCTAAACTGCAATCGAATGCTATATTTTTCCTCTAAAAAAACCCTGCCTTTATTGCGTTGAATTTCTTTGTCAAAGGCACACGCGTTCTTTAATCTCATGACAACAGAAGTGCGATCTCATAATTCGAAAAAAATCACAAGTAGGTGAAATTATGGAACGAATCGATGCAGTGTAGTGTATCGCACGTTGCTCTAACACAAAAAATGGCGTCCGTCGAATCACCTTAAAAACAAACTAGAGCGTGCGGGGGAGAGGTCAAAAACGCGATACCCATCACCACATGCGGTAGCAGTGGCGTGGCGTGCTTTGCGATGTATCGATTGATCTGCCATTTAAACATGTGGAAAAGGATCGATTGTTAGGGTGTTCGCAACGAACACCTTAATAATCGATTCTTTGCCATAGCTTCAAATGGGGAAACATCGATATATATCAAAGCACGCCACGCCACTGTGCGGCGCGGCAGTCAAAACAGTCAAAAAGAACAGCCAACGGGCCGGGCATTTGCGGGCAAGCACCTATTGCGTCACTCACAGCCTACCTAGATTCCCTTTATTGAACCAGGATGTCTACTAAAACAAGCTAGCCAAAAATCAATACTTTAACAGTGCTTTTTCAGGACATTCCCAAAAAATTCAGTACCTCCTCAACAGAAAAATTCAGAACCTTCTTCAGTAGGTACCTCCATTTGAGAAATTCAAAAAATTTCAGCAATTTGAATTTCTCGCTCAAATTGCGACAAAAATGCCATAAAAATGAAACAAAGTTCCAGACTCCTTGCGAAATTTCCGCACTTTTTCAGTGCTGCCGGACCGCTTTTAAAAAGTCATGCAGTACTATTTCCGGACTTTTCGGAAATTCCGGACTTGTGGACACCCTGAACCCAAATATTCTCGTTCTCGGTGCTTTTAGCTTTTGTTTTTCCGACGAGGAAATAAAAAACCTTTTCGTCTGTAAGAGAGCTTGGACCGAAAAACGATCGCACGTTGTGTGATGCGCACAGAGAAAAAAAATGAGGTGTTTGCATTTCGGGCATCTTGGAATTTTTTTGATGACGTAGGTTGGTACAGCGACTTTTATCATCGATTTTCTTGGAAATGGTGTAATTTATGGAAAAAAGTAATTCTACAAAAAGTGCTTGAAGTTATATCATGAGTTGATTTAAACAAAAAATCGGACGTTATGTTCTGTTTTTTATACTTCGAATTCCGGATTTCGCTGGCCAGGTTGTACCGACCTACATCACAGGGTAAACAAACCTCAAGAAGCAAACAACACCTTTTTGTCTCTATGCGTGATGCGAGGTCGGACTCTCGAAAAAGTCTCTCCCCACTTTTTTTTCACTCTCTTTTGATCATACCATACTTCGAATGACACGGTCAACCAAGAGAAGTGATAGGTGTGGAGTTTCGAGATTCGGGAATTTCCGAAATTCGACTGAAGCTCTGCGCTTCGCTTACGATGGCCATGCTCGGCTGATCACGCGTTCGCGACTGTTTCCACCCGAGCGTACCCGCACGGAAATTGCGAAATGAGCGAAGGGATACAAAAAAAGTCCAACAATTGATTGGGCATCATCCCTCAACTGTAAGCCAGATGATGTCTTCATGGCACAAACCCGTTGAAGAGGGCACAAAACACAGGTCCGACTGTGTAAGCCGGCAATCACATAACTCGGTTTGCGACGTCGCAGACTTCCTGCCATACTTTATTGTTTACACCGAAAACTACTCAACGGCAATTCTTCAAAACTGCCTTGATTTTCCTTCTCTATGCGAAGACAATTCTGCAAAAACTTCAAGGAATGATGTCAATTTGTTCTCCTTTAAAAAAATAACATTGCGGCGGAGATTTTCAGACACCGCAAACGGGTTATGTGATTGCCGACTTATACCGTCGACTGGTCTACATCTGCCGCTCTAAGGAAGAACGCCGTATAAGCATTCAAATGTTGCCAAATTGCCTCCCGAAAAATATTCTTTTTTGAAGAACGTTATGAATATTTTTCCTTTAAACTTTCAGACGCTTTAGACCAAATTACAAACAACACAATTCTTTAAAAAAATGGAGGAAAATATTAACACGTTTCACGGAAATTCCTGATTTGTTGCAGGAGATTTGACAACGTCAGAAGGCTCATACGGCGTTTTTCCTTAGCATGGCAGAGTAAGTGGCAAAATTGTCTTGTCCAACCTCCTCCACCCTCTACTTTGAGGGTCTTGACATTCTGGATGGATTCCATGACAATATTAACTTTTTTTAGCTCTCTTAAAGTTTTAGCAAGTTTAAATTTCGACTTAGTTCTACTCCTCATCATTCTCGGTACCCGATTCCATGGTCGGATTTTTATACATACTTGCCGCCCCCACGAGCACGACTTGTCGCCGCGCGGGGGGGGGGGGGGGAGGGTGGATGTCATGCCTTTCGTCGATTATTGCATACCCTACACTTTTTTTATGCAGATTTTCAGCCTCTCATAATTTTTTTTCGATTTATATTAGTCTTCATCTTGCATCTAATCCTTCTGGATTGAATCGCCAAGTTGCCGCGACCCCCTTCTGGCGGAAAGGCGCTTGCGGCTGCGCTCTATTTTCGTTTCTTTTCGGTCCTTTTTTTCCCCGTCCTTTAAAATTCGCCGCCCTAAGCCGCGGCCTCGACGGTCTGTGAATAAATCCGTCCATGCCCATTGTGATTCGGTACGGATAATTCTGAAAAACTCATTAGCGGATTCAGCAATTTGGCAGCATTGACTTTTCTCCATTTAAACCTATGGGAAAGTATCGATTCTTGGAGGGGCCAGGTGCTCCGACAAGAATCGATTATTTAGCATAGGTTTAGATGGATTCAATCCGGTGTTGCCAAATTGCTGGATCCGCCTCTGGAAAAACTGAGGATAAATGTTGGATCTGCCTCTGGAAAAACTGAGGTTAAATGTTGAAAGAGATTTTTCTCTGATTGAATAAAAATCCGATAGAGGTTGCAGTATTCATTTTTGGATACAGAGTAAGAGTCTCATGGAAGAAAATTATAGAAAGTCTAAAAGAATTAAAAATCTAAATTTGAAGAGAAGGTAACCATCATGCAAAATACCTATCAATATTTATGAATTAGAGAACTTTTTGTCACACATTTTGAGGGAGCGAAAATAATTTGATTTCACACAGGTTTTATTATTTTTGCTTTTTAAAAAAATTGTTATTCAATCATTTGCAATTCATTGTATGCAATACCTAATTATATGCACTGTATGCTTGAAATTTAAACATTTTCTTGTTTAAATGAAAAGGGAATTTGCTTTATTTTTTCAGCTGAACAACAGGAAAAGAGTACGGCAGAAAATTGCAAACAGTCATACATGTAAGTTCAATTACTTGTTTATGTATGACTATGTGTAGGAAAAAGGTTTCCTTGGTTGAAAATATTATTTCCTCTTTTCTCTTTTAAATATAATTTTTGTTGGAGTTTTTTAGCCAACAAGCGTGAAAAATCAGCATAAAGCTGAAAATTTCAATGTAGAGGGAAAAACCTCATAGGTATGAGCACGATTTTCCCACAAAGAGATATGCTGTTTGCAGTTGCCTTCTTGAATAGTCGTAGCTAGTGTTGCACTAAACAGCATATATCTTTGAGGGAAAATCGTGCTCATATGAGCTTTTTCCCTCTGTATTGAGGTTTCTGCTTTATGCTGATTTTTAACGCCTTGTTGGCTAAAAAACTCCAACAAAAATTGTCTTGCAACCCGTGCGACCACTGCAAGTAGTTTGTGTTTTAAATATAATGTATTTCTTCTGAAAGCTGCATTCTTTGGAGAATTAGTTTTTAGAAAGACTCCACAAAGGGCAAGGTTCTTGAAGCTATGTCTAGAGGGAAGATAGAGGCTCTTATTTTACCTGTAGATGGACCATGCATGAAGATCTTCTGATGCAGAAGCGGAGGCAGCAGTTGAAGGTGGTAGGGGTCCGAGAATGGTGGGTGAGAGGGAGGGAGTTTTTTGATGAGAGTGAGGTGCAGATCGGGCGGTTGCAGACGAGGAGTCTACAAGTCCCGTGTCATTGGATGGCACTGAGTACCTCCTCTCCATCTCCCACATGCTTAGCGCAGAAAAAGAGTCTTGGTCCCTCTAAGTTTTTTTCCTACAACAAAAATATTATTCAATCATTAACACATGAGAATAAAACCTAGTAAGAAGGTGTTATAACCTAAGGGTTCCTATTTTTATAGATATTTTCTGTGATATTACCTGCCTGGCAATCCAAGCCGAAAAGGTTGCAGAGACAGTAGTCTAACGTTACTTACAGCTGAGGCAAAATGGACTGAGTTAAGCAGAAAGGAACCAACCCACATTTTGGAAAAAATTGAGTTATGAGTGGTTTTGAACTCAACCACTGCTCTACTATCTATCGCCAAAAATTCAAAGTTTTTGTTGGAGCAAATTTTCCAGAAATTGAACTTGAAGTTTATCTTTTACATTGAGTCTTATGCAAGAGCCAAAATTGAAACCTCTTTTTCTCGGTTCAATCCCAATGTGGCTTGGTTCCTTTCTGTTTAACTCCATCCAAATGTAAGTAACTTTGCAGCAACCTTCAAGGCAACCATTGCCAGACAGGTATGGTAAAAAAAATTCAATTTCCCTTGAAACTTACTTAGGTTTATTCAGACCAGTAATTGGAGTCACAATTTGAAAAGGTATACTTTTTTTAAAATTGTAAAATAGTTTGAGGAAACCTGTGAGTGCTGGCTTAGAACAAATTTTTTTGCAGGTTTTTAAGTTCTTTTTGGGGGCCACTGACACTTTTCCATTAGCACAAGCTTCTTATACAAAGAAGTACCTAAACAAGGTCTAGGTACACTACTTACAAGTATATAATGTTTGAGGGTTCCTTTAACTCATGTGTTTTTTATGAGATTCTTTAGCAAGGTATTAGTAATTAGTGATTAATTGAGAAGAGTTCTGGAAATATGGTCCATATTAGTGTGGTACAGGTGTGCTTTGTTGCTCTAAGTAGCCAGTAGGAGCTAGGTAGGTACCTGGAAAATCAGCAGCATTGGGAGACCATTGCTACTTCCCTTTTGTCCAGATGAGGCGAATCTGAGAAACAAACCTGCCCATATTTTATAGATTCCGCTATCAGAATCTTCCACTACTGAACACTAAGTGAGTAATATTTACCTGTTATAGAAGGATTTGTGTGATTGTCTACATTAGTCCACAATGGATTGCTTTTGGTTCTGAGCATCATGAATGTCAAGTGTTTTTAACTAGCTTATCGTCATTTCTGTGTCTTGGTGTTTTTACGAACTACTCAAGACAAACTTCAAAATCGACTGGCATTTTTCTTCCTGAAAATAATAGAGCAAGTAAATATTGTGAAAAGAGTGGTGTTTTTTTTTAAAAAAAAAAAAAAAAAAAAAAAAAAAAAAAAAAACAACAGTCTAGGTACGTACTTAAATCAGTCTTTACTTTGATCCGAGAGAAAAAATTTGAAGAATGAAACTTCGGACATGATGTTCATAGGTTTGAGAGCGGCAACTGCAAAGCTGCAGACTGAAGACTTAAAATTGAATCTCCTTCTTTTGGAAAAACCATAAAGAAAGGGCCCTTACATTCTTAGGAGTGACACTGTAGGACAGCAAAAAACACCTCAAATCATCAGCAATCCACGAAAGGTAAGGATGTCATTTGCTTCGGTCTCACTTGAAATCAAAATTGATTCTCTTTAAGTAGAATTCGAGCATTGAGTTGAATGATCTGTTAGTGATTGAATACATTTTCAGCAGCAGAAACAGTGGCACTAGAAGTAATCAATGAGAGTGTACTGAGGACTCGATGGATAGCTTTAACAATGAAGCTTGCAAGTTTTCCTCTGCACCTTCGGATAACGTAGTGCCTTTTTCTACGCGACTCCTAGATCTGCAATGTATTTGTTAGATTTTAATAAAAATCTATTGATTGAAGAGTTAAGTAGGTACAGACTACTGTAAAAATTGAACAAAATACACTAACTTTAATACCTGTTGATTGTGAGGAAACTGTTATCAGTGATGCTTTCTTGTCGATGTAAGCAAGAGCCCCACAGTCATTCCACAGGCAAAAACACTTCTTGTTAAGGATAACAGAAAACTTGCGGCTACTCAATCTTCATCAATCACTTTGAAAATCCACGAATCAACAGGTTAGTAACCTCGAAATCACTTGACACTTGGTACGATCCCGAACTCCCGAGGGTTTCGAACGAATTCCCGATGCAAATTTCGACCGACAAAATGAAAACAAACGGAAAACACACAACTGACGGGATCGCCCAGTGTCGAATTACGCGGGTATATCACAATCCAATCATTTCAATACAATCAGCTAACGGAGGCTGATCAAAAAGTAGGATGCTGATGGAGATGGATATGTCAACTGGGCGAGACGAGAGGGGAGGGTACGACGAGATGAGGTGGATAACAAGGTGGGAGCGTCATGCATCGCCGCATTTTTGATGACGTAGCAGTGATGAACTTTGTTGCCGCGCGGTTTGAATTTTCTTAGGACATCAGTCGTGGCTTCATTCTCATGAGGAGAAAGAACGGAACCACACTGATCAGAACAAAATATTATTTTGATTATAATTGAATTTTTGGTAATACCTTACACCCACAAATTTTTTTTGAAAAATCACTCGTAACATGTTTTGACGAGATTTTATTGGAAGGAAAACTAACAGACTGAACAGAGAGATAGTATCGAGTAATCATGTTTACGATGTTTCCATTAAAATGCTCCTTTTTGAATATTTTTAATACATTGTAATTATCGCAATTTTTTTTTGGCTGCGAGGAGGGGGGGGGGTGTCTTAAAATATGTTCATAGTCATAGGGACACCTATCAAGAGCGAACATTGAATGTCTTAAAATATTTTGGAAACCCCTGACAATATTATGAGAGCAATATTTGCCTGAGCGATGGGGGGTGGAGGGGGGAGTAGAATTAAAGCTTTCTTGGTTCTTACTGAGGCTACTCTGAACCGTACTTCAGCACGAACTTTATTACACCCTCAATTCATTACTCGAATGCCGATTTTTTTACCCAACTCGACAAAAAGTGCACTTTGCTTGGCCACTTTGCATCCGTGCATTGAAATCTCTTCATCCGTATACGGTCACCATATGTAACATTTTAGAGGGGAAGGGAAGGTAAACAAAAGGATTTGATGGATTTGAAAAGAAGTAAGTCGGAAACTGATATTTGAATGTAAAGAAAAACAGAGAACAATTTTAACGTAAAGTAAAATTTTAAGACTGGGATCGATGTATTAAGATGTCCTCCACAGTTTCGGAACCAGCTGCATCGTGCATATCCGCCAGAGGTTCGGCTTCGTCATGTCTTCGCCTCCGCACCTTCGCGGCTGCTACCTATTGGCGTTGACCTTTCTTCTGAGATGTTGCCGAACCTGGACTCGATTAGGAACTAACCATGCCCTGGTAAAAATTGGCAGTAGAATCTGTGTTCCAAAATACCATAGACCTACAGCCGGCTGTAAGATTTCCAATAGCTTCTATAGCCGGCAATACAATTTCTTATAGCCTTTTATAGCCGATGGCGACTAAGCAACAGCCTGGCGATAAAGTATATTATGCTAAACGTTACTAATTACGGATGCCAGGACTTAGTGAGTTTTTGGACTACCGCTCTATTTTTGGGCCGTAGTATCTTGATTTGTTTTGCGCGGAAAGCTCCGTACTTTTGAAGGATGCCTGCCATTCCTAATATGTTGGAGCGCCTTCAATTTCGTATGATACTGTGCAATACCTCTGGTGTGAAATAGTTGCTTCAAACGCCGTGGTACGCTGCGGCGCGGCGGGCAGCCAGCGCAAAACGCGCATTGGCGCCTACAAACCTAACAGGGATACTTCACGCGTTGCGCTATGCGTGACGTATCCCTGTTAGGTTTGTAGGCGCCAGTGCGCCGCCGCTCCGCTTTGTGTTAGTATTTAATCTTGTGGAGTCAGCGTTTTTCAACTACCATGACTTCGAAATGTTTGCACATTCTGTATGGATTATTCTCGTTTTAATTGATGAAACAACGTAGTAAAGGAAAATATAATGTGCGTTTTGTAAATAAGAAGCTGATTCCGTACAAACTTAAGGATTTACAAAGCACACGAATTTCTAGACAATTTTTTATAGCCTTTTATAGCCGATGGCGAAAAAGCAACGGCCAGGCGATAAAGTGTAAAATTAAGTCCGGCGATAGGAACTATAGCCCGCTATAGCCAGCTATATGATTTTCTATCGCCTTCTTCAGTCGGCTATAAGAACTCCTATGGTATTTTGAAACGCAGCTCCTATCGCCAATGTTTACCAGGGTGGACCCGGAAAGTGCATCACTTCAAGGGATCGTTCAAATTCAAAGGTCTTTCAAGCCAAAATTGTCGAGTTTGATGCACAGTTTTGCAGAGTGTTTCAAACAGATTTTGGCACAGGCAACGCCTAAACATGCTGCCTAAAGTAAAGGCGAGACAATTTTGAGTTCTTCACTGGAAAAAAAAAAACACATTGGATCTAGAGTCCAGAGTCTTAAAAACATCGACAAAAAAAAATACTCTTGATTCAATCAGATTTAAGCTTAAATCAAGAACCAAGCTTAATTTGGGCGGATTTCCTTTTGATTTAAGCTTAAATCTGATTGGATCAAGGGTCCTTTTTCTTGTCAATGTTTTCAAGAGTCTGGACTCTAGATCCAATGTGTTTTTTTTTCCAGTGTTGGCGAGAAAAGAAAAATAGTTTTTCGTAAAAAATTCGAATTCCGACTACATTGTTTCATTTTTCAAGGGAAGCTGCTTTGAAAAATGTCTCCGTGGACAATGTCCCGCGATGAATCATGTTGTTGACGTCCCTTGTGATCTATTTTTGCGTCATGTACCTATTTTTTTCCTTCCCCATATCTTAGTAGATTTTCCTGACGCCTTTCGCACGATTCCGGTATACTGCCGTGCTACTGGAAATCTCTGTATGAACCTACAGGCCTTGCCAAATTTCCTTTGTTAAAACACGAATTCCCTGGTAAACTCATAAATCATTTTCTTTTTTTCCAGAGCATTTTGTTCGTATTTTGTTTTGCAGTTCCTGAAAATTTTAAGGAAAAATATTCATAACTTTCCTCAAAAATATACATTCATCAAAGGAACTTTGGCAACTTTCGAATGTTCATACGGCGTTCTTTCTTAGCACGGTACTATACTAATGATATTTCTTCAAATATCTAGAGTTAACTTCAAAGATCCTCATTTTTTCTTGAAAAAGTTGCAAGTTTAAAAAGTTTTCATTCCAAAGGTCGTAAAAACTGAAAGCTCATGCAAATTGGCAAAACTTTCAGTCCACGATATTTTTGTATTTATCTTAATTTTCAGATTTCCAAAGATGTTTTCGCCTCGCGAGTTTCCTAACCCCCCCCCCCCCTGCCAACATCGTGCAACGCGAAAAAAAAAAAGACAAACCAGACGAATAAAAGAAAGAAAAATGTATTAAGGAGGTTAATAGGCGCGGTTGTCACGGTTTATGCTTTGAATAATTCACATTGCATCCGACGTGAATCACGTGACGGCGAGAACCAATGGGCGCTCACCTCTGTCGAGGTAATTAAATCGAATGGAACCTGGGCCACGGGGACATTGCACATGCATGAGCACGTAAGAACTTCTTCATCACGTTCAACTCCGTCGCGTCACTCACGTCCCGACATGGAGGAAAAACTCAGGTAGAAATAACTGAATTTTGAGCTGTGTGACTCACCGAAATTTTCGGCCATGGGAGCTACATTCCGGTTCAGATAATCGAAAGTCTTAGTCGGCAATTGCATTTCGACGATGGAACTCCCGAACCTCAAATCTCATTGGAATCCACTATTTTTAAAAGGGCGGAAGTCTTATTTGATTTGAATGGTTTTTATTGCATTTTTGGGCTTTTTTCATGTACGCACATCTATTGTGTAACAATGGCGGAAGTCGAATGGATAGAAAAGCCCGACCTATAATGTGTAAAATTGACCCGAAATATGTAAATGAAAAGAGGAAAATTAGTTGAGTTTGATCATGATTTATGCAATGTTTTACAATTCGAAATGACAATAATTCCAACAAACTATACGTACAAAAAAAATCAAAATCATAAGTTGAAAACCGATGACGCCGCAAGCTCGAAAAATCGCGTCCAACACAGTGCGGCGTGGGTCTAGCGCGCAAAGCTCGGAACGCATAATGGCGCCTTACAAGACGACAGGATACCTCATGCGTTGCGCGTGTACCGCGGTGCGTTCTCAAGTCGTTGTCCAGTCGTATTTTCTTGGTGTCGATTCCGCTGAGCGTCACGGGTGAGATGATGAGTGCTTGGCAGTCTAAACGCCTTCGATTCCGCGCGTATGCAACACGGACGTCCATGAAGCTCGAATAGTTGCATCCAAAGTTCAGGCGTTGAAATGCAATTCTTTTAGTATCCGTCGATTACGACACTAACTGAAGCTTTGGTTATTTCTCTTACACCTTAACTTAATTCCATTGTCTATTGTGCCGATGAAGTAAACCATTACTGGTTCATCGCGACACTGTCAGTTTTCGGAGAAATGCATGATTTAAACGTATTACAACCTTGCAGTTCCTCGAAATCGAGAGGATTAGGTATTTGAGCATGATACGTAGAATTTCCTTTAACCATCTTTAACGAGTTGTCCTTTGTTTGGATTTTGTTGTTGTTTTTTCCTCCCATTTGGGAAAACTAATTTTGACGTTTAAGTGCATGGGAAATTATCAAAGAACAAACATGATTATTTGCACGGAATTCGGGACCGAAAAAAAAATCAAACACATCGTATTTCGAAAAAACGAAATGTGTCAGGAAATCTGTAATATCACAAACCTATGTACACGTATATGATTTCCTAGGTGCAATGGCGCCACTAAAGCACAATACTGTCTGGTAAGTAAACTCGTGAAAATTATTATGTCCTGCTCTTCCCCATCTGAACGACAAAAATGCAACCCCATTCCAAGGTTAACAATTCATTTTTTTACATAAGTGAATTTGTGCGCAATTTTTCATTCAAAATTTTTCTGATTTTTGCATGAGATCCGAAGGAACATCAGTTACATTTTTCAGTAAGAAATGCTCAAGATTCTCCTGGTAAAAATGCAAGTTGAGAGGAGAAATCTGACAACATCGAAATGTAGTTACGCTCTTCCGTAAGGTAAACGACAAAATGTGAGGTACGTCTAGCTATCCCTCAAAAACGACTAGGATCCAAGAGCAACTTTTATCGCTCCCGTTTGGCCTCGAAGATATTTCTCTGGAACACTCGGTCGCTTCTTATAGAGTACCCATATAGGGAGATTATTGCCATCTCAATCCTTTTATCACAGAAAAATGTGCGCTCA